ACACACACACACACACACACACACACACACACACACACACACACACAAACCCACAGTGAGGGAGAGAGAGAAAATGCGGTGCATCTGTTTATGTCGCCGTCATTGGTGTCTCATTAGTGAAGCCACGCAAAAACCATTCAAGAAATACACACACACACGTCAAGAGAGAGAGAGAGAGAGAGAGAGAGAGAGAGAGAGAGAGAAATCGTGTCGCGCACGTCTGAATATTTCGCAATTGTGGATCCCACAAAAACATTGCCATTTGCAGAAGCACAGCGGTGCAAAGTTTGTGCATCGCTATGTTTTTCCATTCAGTCTCTTTTATATGTACGATGGTGGCTCGTACAGTTTAATCATTGCGTTGGCACTTTTACGGCGGCCGCAGCAGGAAAACCTCTTAAAGACATGGCAAAACGTATTTTTTGCAAAATAATAACATACATTTGTAAGCAAAATTCAATAGCCTGCAGTCAGCAGGAAAGTGTGCAAGTGATTTTGTAAGGTAAACGAGTTATTCGTTTTAAATGAAGAGCGATGTAAGAGATGCACAGATCGTTGCCGTGACACTATATTCTGTATAGAATTTGCATTTCAGATAAGCAATGATAGATGGTGTTGATCAGTATTTGCTATTGGCATATGTTTTATGCGTTCGGGCGATATCTTGAATGGCAACGACAACAATGAGACGACGACGACGACGTCGACAGCGGCGTCATTGATGAGCATTTTCCACGGTGGTTTGTTGATACACACAAAGTAAAACATCCCGGCCGATACAAATGCAGTGTATCCAATAAAATTTTATGGTACATATTGCCTTGTTCAACACAACATATTTGTGCTTGGCTTGGCCATACATTTATTTTCCTTGTATCATCAATACGTTTTCATTCTATCTTCTTTCATTCCCATAGAAGCTGTTCCCTTTCTTTGTCGCTCTATTGAGAGTGTACGAGAGTGAATCATGCGAATCGAATCCAGTATTTGTGATGTAAATTGCTTGCACCCGATATCATTGGTGGTGATCAGTGGCTTGAATTGAGTGAACAGATACTCTATGTACAAGCGACTCAGTGACAGTTAGCGATAAATAATATCAAGCTTTATCGACGCATGCAATGAAATATAGCGTAAAATGGTCACATCTTTTACATTCATTCGCAAGCTCTTTCTCTGTGTGCACATATATGTCGTGTATTTAATTGCAATCTATTCACTTTTGAGTGCACAAGTGCACATATACACTACCGTGCAAAAGTTTGGAACCACTAGGTATTTTTCATACAAATTGACCATTTTTGGTGGACTCATTAACATATTTCGGAAACACCTGCACTCTTGATATTTTGTGCATAGTTTCTACAACGTTTCAATAGTAAATCACAGAGATTCCATCGAAAAATATTCATGAATTTCAAAAATATAGCAAATTGAATTTGTACTGTGTGAAAAATGGTCAAATTTGTATGAAGATTAAAACAGATCAAATTCAAATTGATATATTTTTTAAATACGTGAATATTTTTTGATAAAACCTCTGTGATTTACTATTGAAACGTTGTAGAAACTATGCACAAAATATCAAGAGTGCAGGTGTTTCCGAAATATGTTAATGAGTCCACCAAAAATGGTCAATTTGTATGAAAAATACCTAGTGGTTCCAAACTTTTGCACGGTAGTGTACATACATGCACACACTTGGCAATCGATATGATCGTTAATATTTAATGCTCACTTTGTTGGCGCAACAAAAAGGAACAAACGCTCATGATTTTCAACTTGAAATTGGATTTAAGCCGAAGAAAAATGCAAGCCCACACACATGAGAGAGAGAGAGAGAGAGAGAGAAAAGGGGAGCGAGAGGGGGAGATAAAAAAAACCTCTCAACAAATTATTCAATGCGGTGCGCTGCATTGTAGAAATAAAAACGTATGCAATTTTCGGTTCTAATTTATTTAACACAGGACGGAAAAGCAATTTTCACTACGAAATTATTCAAAATATAAAAAGAAGAGAAATAAAATTGAGGCATAAAGATGTATCTCTTCCCACCGATTGAGAGAGAGAGAGAGAGAATTTTATATACCAACCTTGTGACCCAGCGGGAAGCACGTTAACTGAAATAGCTGAACCACTTTTGTTGGAGCCTTTACACCTGCCATCAATTCGGTCAACGAAACTATCTATAAACGAAAAAAAAGAAAATACAAACGACATTCAAAATTATTTGGTGCATTAACCAAAATGTTTGCGAGCATCGGGCAAAGTGTACGATGAATTTTCGACAAATGGAATTCCGCTGAGCCAAACACACACACATACACACATAAATACAAAATGAGAGAAGCAATAAAGGACGAATTCATATACACAATTTCAAGTTTATGTGAAAACATGCTTCATTTTACAAACATCGATACACAAATATGCAAATTACATACACATCGCATCGCATTTTAGTTTGGCTCACATTTTTCTCTCTCTCCATTTCACTCCAACATAACGTTGAGCGCTCAACTCCTGGCTAAAGCCGAAGTTAAACGGAAAGATGGAAACTTTTTAAATTCGCATTTTTTTTTATCGTCGTTATTTTGGTGTGCAAAAGTGTTTATATTCAGTCTCGAACAATATACACAGCTTAATAGAGATATTCCATCATTTGGCATTCAAACACCATGCCAAATTCAAGTTCAAACCTATTCAAGTATTGAAAATACTTATTCTTGAAAGCACAAAAAATCGATTTTTCACTTCTTGACAACGAAAAATTGAAGAGTACAAAAAAAAGAACGAGAGAAAGAAGCAAACAACAAAAAGAAGAAAAATTGAAAAAAATGAAAATGAATACGAATTTGTATGTTTTCTTTGATACAATTTTCGATTCGAGAACAAAGGAAACGAATTCACGCTTTGCTACTTGATCACGTAAAGAACCAAAGTACCAATCCAACTGGAATATTCACATCGACAACAAGGAATACAATCAACTATGAAAAAGAGAAGCGGAAAAATGACAACGAATGCGGGAGTCTAGAGAACGAAGCAAGTGGGATAGAGAAAGAGAGAGGGCGTGAAACTACCAAAGGAAAAATTTTCATGCAAAGGAAAGCATGGCATTTAATTCGATTTCTTGCTAAACTCTTTGAATGGTTCACATCAAATTGACACAAGATATTGATCAAAAATTATGACATCCGCATCCAGCACATATTGAAAACACGAATACACATGCACACATGTTCAATGCATGAACGATGCTATCCATTTTGAAAGTTTATTCCATTCCATTCGCTTAAGGAAAAACGGCAAGCGACTAAACTAATTTAATGCTAGCGTTATGTAACAAACGGATACTTTTCTTTCGACAGCAACGGCAGTCATCGCACACTGTCATATGAACAGTAAATTGACTTAGCCAACTTAACGTTCTCGATAATTTAATAATTTTGTTGACATGAAGAAATGAGACGCGAGAAAATGCGCGGATGACGTTGGAATGTATACATGAAATATGGAATTTCAAAATGATTTTTCTCTCCATTTCATTAATTTTCAGCAAATACTGCATTTAATGGATCATTTTTCGTATACTGATGAATTATCTCATAACCTACTGATAAATATTTCGATTGAAATCTGCCGAAAATTCATTTTACAATGCACATTTGAAGCCGAGTAAAAATGACGATGAAAACAGCAGCAACAACAACAATTGTGAAAGAAAGAAAAAGAAACAATTTTACGCACCTTTTTATTGATTTTGTATTCCCATTGTTTGATATTTTGATAATGTTTGCGCGATACCGAGTGCACCGAAAAAACGGGACCATATTTTTCCATTTTACTCTTCTCCGGCCAGAATGATGGATATGCTTGCTACGGGCAAATAAGAAAATATAATCAACTCACAATGCCGGCTTTTTTCCTTTCACCATCATCCATTCAAGTATGTATGTATGTATATGAATGAGATGGATGCAGTAAAAAAAATGAATAAACTAATGAAGTGCATGCATTAATGAAATTGTATATGTTGTATCAATAAACAGAATTTCTGTGTAAAACTCGAAATTGCAAATAATATCGGTTAACAACTCACTGCGAAGAATCAAATAATATCTTTAATGCGAAAAATGGCGATGAAATATTGCGAATGAATTGAATTTAAAATGAATCAATAAGAATGAGTTTTGCTTGCAGAATGTATGAATTTGAGCGAAAAAAATATGAACCAAATTATTGCTCATATTCAAATCGGAAGGAAAATGTCGGAATGATTTCAATATTTCAGAAAAATGAAGAGAAAAAAAAACAAACACTGCAACAAAAACATCATTAAGTAGTTTGTAAATGCAAAACTATCGTTAATGCTACACATCGTTGTGTGTTGCGTGATGATCGATTCATGTTATATAAATAAACTTAATGTGCTTTTAATTTTTCGGTAGTAAGCGCGTGTATCGGGGTGTCGAAAAATAGAGACCAACTACGCCGCATACGTGTATACGGTGTGCGGTGATACGTGTAAAACTGTAAAAGAGTTGTAACATGCATTAAATATACAAACCGAATTCGGTGGAGGTTGACATAAAACCACAACAGCTGAACACTCTTGATCGTATACAAGCGACCAGAATTCGCCGACAGTGTGCTTCAATGGCCATTCGGTGACAATATATTCGCGTGGCTTCGTGTATCCCTGTAATAATGAGTAATCGAACGAGAATGGTAAATAAAATGGGAAAAAATTCAGAGTCCGGTGAGATGCGATGGGACATAGTAGTCATACTAGGTTAACAGCAACACATGTACCGAATATTTTGCGTTTTAAATGCGCGATTGAAATTGAATTCGCTGTAATATTATTTGTGTCGTTGTTCGATGGCTATCGAGTCTATACTATCGACAGAAGATGAAAAAAAGCAGCACGATGACTTTATTCACTCTTTCAATGGATTGAAATATATTTAATTTATCGCATCGCACAATCGAAAAAGTTTTCAATGATTTCGAAATCACATTTTCTCCATGAGCTCACTTTTTTCACTCTCTCTTCCTCTCTACCTCTCTCCCTCCCTCTGCATGTGTCTCTTCTTTGTTCTACAGATGTGTTTTAATAGCATGTTTGTGCATCCGTATGCAAACTGTGGAATGCTACTGCTTCTTCTTTTTAACACATACTGTAAGTCGCCATATTGGAAGAAATAATAACAATACACTATAAATATTCAATATGACCGCTTCCATTTTGCATGATTGTGTGTACGATAATGTGAAGAAGAAGAAGTAGTAGCATGCATAAAAAGTGTATTGGTTTTCATACGGATGTGTTTGTGTGATGATGAAAGGGAGCGAGAAAGCGAGAATGTCAACGATATAGAACTCCCAACATTCAATGGACAAAGTGTTTAACCCAAATTACTGATAGAGACCGAAAGAGAGAGAGAGAGAATCTGCGCAAATTGTATTCACAAATCAGAACAGAATCCACCAATTTGGAACAGATACAAATGCCATTACAATGTTATTTATGGCGATTATTCCGAAGAAGCTGCAAAGTTTCCATTGAGTGTTTGGTATAAATGCATTTGTGAGCATTAAATAGTTTGGGCTATTGTCAACGGTTACATTTTTTTTCCATTTTGCCTTGAACAAAAATTCGCTCTGTATGAGTTATTATCATGAATTTCAATGTCCCGTGTTCATTTTTTTTGCAGTCTCACTCTCTTTTCGTACGATCAATTATGGGATTAAATAATTTTTGACAATGGCTGACACGGCACAAACAAAAACTTTACTCGTGACCCAACCATTAGAGATGTTGAGAGAGACACAGGCACAGAGAGAGACCAAATCAATTTGAACGGTTTATTCATCTCCAATCAGTCGATGATGATTTGATTGTTTACACTCGGCAATTGGTTGGGTTTGCCTTTTCGATGCTGCGCGACACAGACACATCCGAAAAGAGCGCAAATGACAAAAATAAAAATTAATTACAGTCGGTTTTTTTTTTCACCACTTTGCTTCCATATTTTCCGTCGCATATTGTTTTTTTTATCATTCTTCTGTTCGATCGGCTACAATCACAGTTCATCCATGTTTCAATTGGAGACTATGAAATTAATTTATTTCGAGTCACAAAAGGGGGATGTGTCAAGCGAAGGGCTTGTGACGCCTGAAATACGGCCATATTTTCATATATTTCTATATTTCAGTCATATTCCGTCATATTTCAAATATTTGGAATATTTGATATATTCAAGGCATATTTCAGCTACATTTTTGACGTTTTTTGGTATTACCCGATATTGATGTGACTATTTCTGTTTGAAATATTTCTCTTAATTTTCAAATATGCGAAATATTTGAAATATAGCCAAATATGTCAAATATACGAAATATCAAGATGCATTTTGTGATCAAATAATGCTTCAATATTTGAAATATTTCACGTATTTGAATATATTTCACATATATTTGTTCGTCGCAAGCCCTTCGGTGTCAAGCGTTAAAAGCAGGCATTTCCGCGCTCCAATTTATTTGTTCATCATTCCCCAAAAGTCTCTCTCTTTCTCTCTTGGTTGCCATTGCCAATTTTCAATGTGATTGCCCTGTTTTCGATTTCAGTTTTGTTTGCTATTGAGCTCAAACCGTTTAATTATCTCGCGCCCATTTTGCCCCGCTACGATTTCGTTGTCCGAATTCGTGTTTCTTCATGCGAACAATTGGCGATCGCGTTTTTTCGATTGAAAGAAGGAAAAAATGGTAATGAACACATGCATACTTACATCAACAAACACAGCATTTATGTAATCGGTAAAAGCGTTGCCTTGAAACGATGTCAAGTATGGACGAAAATTATCAGCTATCGAATTGATGAAAAAAAAATCACATGATAAATTCAAAGAGAAGAAAAAAGGAAATTGAGATTGCCATTAGTTAGATCGGCTCGAATTTGTTGATGAATGATTTTGTGATGAAAACAATGGACTTGTACAAACTTACGTGGAACTATGAGGACATCTCGGTTCTTTTCTCTGTTATCAGCTCTATGTCCGCCGGCACAGTCACCAATTGTAAATCTAATTTCAGACATTTTGGTAATTGCAACAGCGTCGCCGAGCAGCAATATTATGGTGGAGGTGAAGAACAAAGTAGTGATAAAAAATAACGATTTAATTAGCATGTTTTTCACTTCACGTTGAGAATAGAACTCTAGACAGACAGTCTAGTGTGTATGTGTGTGTGTGTGCCAAAACACACTGGCGATGGCTATTTTACCTGGGTGTTTGTTTGCAAATTTGTGCATATTCCTTTTGATATTCATTCATTTTGGTGACTGGATCTTTGCGCGCTTTTGCCTTCAATCGTTCGGACAGTTCCGACACGGGAAACCATGTTTTGCCACACTTTATATGCTCCTCTAACGTATCGTATACGAATTTGTATTGGTCCTGAATTTGCATAGCAACCGGAATAGGAGACAGGGAGAGAGAGAGAGAGAGAGAGTATTAAAGCTTTCAATATAGACCTGTGTGTTTGTGTTTGTGTTTGTGCATGGGCAGGTTTATTATGTTTGAATGATGAGGGTAAATGAAGGTGAATTCTGTCCTACTTACCACATTTTCGATAAGGCCTTTGCGCGATTGTCGCAGCTTTTTGAGATAGCCGAAAACGTGAAAGCAATCTTCTTCTTCAGCCAATTCCATGTTTGCATCGATTGCTAAATAAACACCAGACCGGCCGCCGCCATCACTATCGAAACGCATGAAGCACACACAAAGAGAAAGAAGAAAGCCAAGTGATGAGCACAAAAACATACATTTACTCAGTTCCACTGTTTCTGTGTGTCTCGCTTTGGCGCGTGCGACCAACAAAGATTCACAAGTAAAACAATGGAAAGTGAGTGCCATAAAGCTAAAAATTGCTTAGGATGCACGTTGTGCCAAAAAAGCAGCAGCACAAGAAAGAAAAAAAGCGTGAAGAGATGAAAACGAGAAATCATGGCCGTAACACAGAGAGCGACACAGCATCCAACATGTGTACAAGGAATTCGGAAAAGCAAGCTCTGTGTGTGTACGTTTTTGTTTTGTTCTTTTCTGGTTGTGTTTGGCTTGTTTGGTTTGCTTTTTAACGACGTGAAGACAAGATTTTCACACAAACGCGCGCGCAATTCACTCGGCAACAGATACAGCCATCACAAGATAAAATGTAAAGTGAAACGCTTTGAAAGAGCCCAAATCAAGCACACACACAGCGAGCGAGCGAAAGATGATTCGGAACCTAAACAAAAACAGTGGAAACAAAAAAGAAGCAATGAAAGCATTTGGTTGTATTTGCTTACTTGCAATGCACCAGCATCGGGCCAACTAAACTGTTTGCCGTTATTATGTTCCCAACAACGGCACGAACACGACGACGAAATTCGAGCACAGCATTCGAAAATGGATTCGTATGCGAATGCCATTCCGTGTAGTGGAACTGAATTATTTGACGTTCTTCGGTAACGCCGCCCTAGAAATCCAAGTCCCGAAAGGAAGAACGAAAATGGAAAAAAAAACCAAAGAAAAAACGAATCGAAGAGAAAAGGCAAATACGATGAGTTAAATGCATGAAAATTGTACACAAAACCTAATTAAATTGAACGCGGAATGGGACGAAACATACAACCATACAAAATCTTGTGTCTTTCACTTACCTCGGCATTCTGCTTCCATATTCTGAATGTGCGAATTTGAAAATTAGCTAATTGTTCTTCTGCTACGATGCCAATGTGAATGTCGCCGTACATTTCTGTTTTGTCGAGCGCTGGTGGCCAATATTGTATGCACATCACCTGTGTATGTGTGTGTGTATGTGTTTATATGTTGCCAAATTGCACAAGAGCAAAAGCGAAAATTGAATGAAATCAAAGGAGAAAATTTATTAGTTTTAACGCTTTGAATCAGTTATGTGATAAATTAAATTGCAAGTATGATTTCAGATGCGAAGAAAAAGTGGAATAACCATAAAGTTTTTACTCATTTCATATCGATTATGTGTATTTTATCAGTCAACAATCGACACAATTTAATAGTTTATTTGAGTATTTGATCACAAGGTTTTCTTCCAAATGCATTAAATTTTTCATGGTTTTTTTTCCTTCTGCAAAATGCACTCATCATCAAGCGTTCACGTTGATCAAAGACATTCTCTCTCTCTCTCTCTCTCTCTCTCTCTCTCTCTCTCTCTCTTTCAATCTTCTGCTTTCTCCCTCTCCGCTGAATTTCTCAAGCCAGCGCAAACACCGTGCCAAACTTCAAAGTTTAAAATGAAATTCCGGAAGCAAAACCATATCAAAATCTACTGAAAGTCAAAACTTGTGGTATTTTTTCAATCTCACATGAAACTTTGTGCAAAGCGAATATTGAAAGGGAGCGTGCACATTTTTTTGGCTTCGAAACCAATGTTTCCAAAGAAAGTTAAAGAGAGAAAAAAGGACCATTTCAAAGATTAACATCGCACTTTTTTTCGTCTCATTTCTCGTTCGTTCGTATTCTTTCTCTTTCATTCGAAAAGTTTCATACGCTTCTGTGATATTGAACTGACTTATTGAATGAATTCGACCGTTGACTGGGAAAAATACACATTGGTTGCGTGTGCATCACGCTGTCTCCGTCTCTCGCTCCTACACAAAATAAAAAAAACTGTTCACGAGTTTTTTTAATCTTGTGAACTGTGATCAACACTTTTCTTCTTGACTTGAGCTACCTCACTTGCTAGCTCATCCGACTTTCTTCTTATTCACTACAGTTGCAGCCGAAATTTGGTGCTATGGTTATTACCTTTGTGAAATCGAATGTTTTTGTTAGCATGATGATAGCACTAACGTTCTCCTGCCAAACCATGCGCCAAAAATCATTGACCGTTTCTTCAGTTGGACCCTGGGTTACTACATAAGCGTTTGGTTTTAAAAGGCTCTGCACGGAAATAGAAAGATAGAAACAAATAAAATCGATTAGATAATTATAATAGAATTAAATGAATGCGCTCGACCTGAAAGTAAGAGTATTCGGCAATAACTCAATATCGAATGCGCCAAAGTTTTTTTTTATCGAAACAGACGAAAAAAACTGGTCATTACTTACATCAACATAAGAGGCATTTATGTAATCGGAATCAGGAACACCGTCAATTTTGTCCAATACTACGCGATTATAATCATATGGAATGCACTTTTGGTTTTGATTTTTCTGTTCATTGTTTTTTCGCAATGCGTGTCGACACGAGTTTGTTTCCACTTTAACGGCGGTCTGGAATATGTGTACCGCGCACCAAAACACCAATCCCGCATCAGACACAAGCATACGGGCCCAAGCATCAAAGAATGTAATACACGCCAGGAAAAAAAAAGAAGAAAAACAAGAGAGAAAAAAACAACCAATGACAAAGTTAGAAGAATACGCATATAATACGCTGTTGGGAATTTGCTAGACATCAAATCAAATGTTCACTCTTCAGATTTCGAAACTTTGTTTGACAACAATCAAAAATATCCTCGCTAGATCTTCTTTAAAATTTTCAAAATTTAATGGCATTCGATGGAGGCGTGCGCGCGATTGCACACACACACACTCACAGACAGAAAAAGAAAACTTTTCGTCTTCTTCTATTATTATTACAAAATGAGGTAATCATCGCGATAGTGCCATTAAATTGTGATTCAACTTCGTTTACTTTATGAAATGACAGCCGAAGATCTAATAATAATAATAAAGATGACGGGTAAAGCAGAATAACATAAAGAAAGCAGCGAATCGACGACGAGTACTAAGAATGACACGGCCAAAAACTTACTTGAAATTCTAATTTGTAGAGAACGCGAAACTTCCGGCGCTGTTCACAAAGTTTAACAAAATGATGAAGTTCTATGGGTTTATCCGGGATTGTTTGTGAAAATGAATTGTTTTCATCTGCAAAGAAAAAGAGAGGGAGAGAGAAAGTTTTGTGAGTGAAAGGATGAAAAATACTAATTTAATTTTATGTGTTTCAATGGAATGACACAAGAAAGGAGACGCGGTGAAAAAAAACGATGAATAAAACGACAGTACGCAGTTAGGATGTGCTAAGCAAAAGTTTCTTTTTTCTTCGCCCCAAAAACGAGTTTTAAAAGTGCCGTGTGAGAGAAATGACGATTGCATCACTTTACAGAATGATTATCCAGTGGAAAATTAGTTTAAATTTTTATGCGCATTGATTAGTTCATTTGCATCTAATTGAAAAATTGAATCAACAATTTAGGCAGACGCGACGGCATTTCCTGTGTCAACGCAACACTCGTTCTATTTTCTGATTTTATTTTCTACCGTTCGCTCGCACCTTTCGTCCGAAATTCAAGTTGATTCAACTGATTGCTCAAACAACACCTATTGATTCGTTGTAATAATATTTTGACACAACGAGTTTTTTGTATGAATGAAGGAAACTCTTATTTTTATATCCAACGTATGTAATCCATCGAAAATGCGATGGTTTTGGATTAACTGTGTTTCCTGCGTATCGCTTTTCATTCGTCAAAGAACAACGGAATTTTGCTGGCTCACTTCAAAAATTAGCATTACAAAAAGCGAATCTGCCGAGGGATACAACGACGCATACAACAGCATCACCCAAAAAACGACACAATCTTTCCACATCTACTCAAAACATACACACACACACACACACACACACACACAATGGATTTGTGTGGTAAAATGGGCATCGTGCCTAATGTTCACTGTGTTCACATTTCCAAACGGATTACACGACAGTAAATGTTTTCATAAATTAACGATGATTTCCACATTTACTGTGGCATTCGCCAGGCTTTCACAACGAAATTGCCTACCACATTTTCCGTGTTACACTGGTTCGTTTTGATGCATTCAAAAGGAACCGAGAAAAAAAACTGATGCTCCAGTTATGATTCTTCGAGAGAATTTCTAGTTTTTTCTCCTTCACACCTGAGTAATTAAAAGATAACACCATTTAAATTGAGATTACAACAAGGAAATAATTATGCAAATTATGGAATACGGTCTATGCACAAAAATGACACGTTGAACAGAGACACGGACTTGTGTGTAAATATTTGAATGCCGATTTCAATTGTGTGAAATGGTTTCGTCCATTCGAGGAAGTTGATTTCAAAATGGTCAGAGCCTTCGAAGAATTCTAAAAAGGCACTTTACCTCGATGAATAAACATTCAACTGACAGTATAGCTGCACAGTTAATAATATATTATTAATTATTATTAATACTATATTATTAACTAGGCGGTATTAACAACTGATACGTTATTAACATCGCCTGTTAATATCGCTATTACTTACTAGTTAATACCAGTTAAAACCGGTATTATCATACTAATATATTATTAACATGCGATGTTAATACCGATAGTATGATCATACTATATTATTATGATTTACATGATAATATTTTATTCACATCCATGTTAATAATTATTAACATTTCTGATGATATTTATTAACATCGCTGTTAATAATATGTTATTAACAGCCGATAATATCGCAAATTTTCCCATTTTTGTCGCGGTTTTTTACGGTTTCCGCGGAACTGATAGGAGATATCAACTTGGTGTCTTCGGCAAAGTTGTAGTACTCGAGGTCCTCTATCAGGACAGTTATCTCTTATCTCTTATCAGTTTCGCGAAAAGCGTGAAAAATGATAAGAAAAAAAAGTTCTATATAAAATTTGCTTTTTTAGTGCGCAATTTGCGCGCAACTGATAAGAGATAATTGTTTTCAGCAATGTGATAGAGGACCTTGAGTACTACAACTTTGCCGAAGACACCAAGTTGATATCTGTTATCAGTTCCGTGGAAACCGTGAAAAACCGCGACAACCCGCCGTTTTTTCGATTTATCGCAGAAATGGATGGTTTTTTCGATTGAAAATCGCCCTTCGGGTCGCTACCTAACATGAAATTGCCCGCCCGATCGATTGAGACTGGTCTGAACTGTCCCCGCTTTTCCGATTTCCCACAATAGCGCTTTTCCGAGAGTTTTCCAACCAAAAAGAGCATGTGTGCCATTTTACATTGAATAATTCCGATAAATCGGAATCTCGGAACATTTGTTATGGTGATTTACGGTGTAAAACAAAAAAAACATAAAACAGTAAAAAAAACAAACCAATTGCAATATTACTATGCACAGCACACATGCACTTTTTGGTTGGAAAACTCTCGGAAAAGCGCTATTGTGGGAAATCGGAAAAGCGGGGTTGATATCCTAGGGGCTTATTTGTCGTCACGAGTCAGCAAGACTCGTATGATTTTCATGTAAATTAAAAATGATTTGCGCTGAATTGCAAGGAACTCGCACTGACTCGCACCAATTTACGGAGATTCGTGAAGACTCGAACGAATTCATACAAATATATACACAAGTCATAGCATAGAAAGTGTATGGCATTTATAGCAAATCCGCGAGTCGATGCAAATCAGCTTATATACACATTGCAAACCATTCGGATCTCAGCTTGTGTTCTATAATTCTTTTCTTATTCTGTTTAATATAGGCAACTGGAATGGATGTGGATTGAAAATGAAATGTATTAAATTGACAATGGAACTAAGATCCACGAAATGTTTTATGAAACATACGAACTGCACTTATTTTTGGAATGGGCAAGTCAACCATTAATGATTTATAACAAGTTTTGCCATACATCATATGAATATATGTGGAGAATGACTTAATGTCTTCAGTGTAAAAAAAATGCTTCGACACTTTTATTTTCATCAAATTGAATTGTTTGAATGAAGCATTTTGATGGATTCGGGAATTGTGATAAATCCATTTTGTGTTCAAATTCACGATTTTTTAGTTGATCTATATAACTTGACATATTCCGTATGAAGATTCGATGCGCTGCCAAAAATTTGGATGGAATAATATTTTCATAAATAGATTCAACTAACACTTCACGATTTTCGTTTATGAATTCCACCAATTTCAGCGATATTCTCTATGTAAATAAGAGCCAAAGTCGATCGACAAGCAAAGACTGTTTTTTTCCCGGGATTTCAACACCCAAAACATCAAATACATTGTTGTCTGCCTTAAAAAAAAAAAAAAAAACATTTCGAAACCAACCATTTTAAAATTTTGTATTAATTTTAATTTTCTTGCAGTCAAAATGTGACAATATAAATGTTTTTAATGACAAAAAGTTGATTTAGTAGTCGATTATTGAGTGAATTGTGAGTTCAACTGGCATGCTCGTTGACATTTCATAGTTTCGTTCAGTGATTCGCCAATTTATATGAGAGACTCGTGAAGGACTCGCGAATCTTCATATAAACTCGTAAGATTCGTGCAGTTGCCTATGTGTTTTGAAATGACTCGTGAGATTCGCACTGATTCACACTGATTCGTGCGACACATAAGCCCCTAGTTGATATCTCCTATCAGTTCCGCGGAAACCGTGAAAAACCGCGACAAAAATGGGAAAATTTGCGATATTATCGGCTGTTAATAACATATTATTAACAGCGATGTTAATAAATATCATCAGAAATGTTAATAATTATTAACATGGATGTTAATAAAATATTATCATGAAAATCATAATAATATAGTATGATCATACTATCGGTATTAACAACTGATACGTTATTAACATCGCCTGTTAATATCGCTATTACTTACTAGTTAATACTACCAGTTAATACCGGTATTATCATACTAATATATTATTAACATGCGATGTTAATACCGATAGTATAATTAATAATATATTATTAACTGTGCAGCTATAACTGACAGTAGTATATTCTTTACTCGATTCCTTTGAGTTTAACGAAAATGAAATAGTCATGAATTTTATTGAGGGCTTTTTGATCATATATTTCTTTTTTTATTCGTTTCCTTCAATATGGAATGTCGTTTAATTATTCGTGAGTTGGTTTTTCGAGTTTGATTCCGAGCCAAAGTCAAAACAAACAACACAGAAGAAGAAGAAGAAGAAGAAGAAGAAGAAGAAGAAGAAGAAGAAGAAGAAGAAGAAGAAG